CCCCTCTGTCCCCTCTGTCCCCTCTGTCCTCTCCGTCCCCTCCGTCCCCTCTGTCCCCTCTGTCCCCTCTGTCCTCTCCGTCCCCTCTGTCCTCTCTGTCCCCTCCGTCCTCTCTGTCCTCTCTGTCCCCTCTGTCCTCTCTGTCCCCTCTGTCCCCTGTCCTCCAGGCGCTCAGCAGAGAGGCGGCGGTGGCGGCGGAGGGTTTGGGCGTGGCCGGGGACGCAGAGACAACGAGCTGATTGGTCAGACGGTGCGGATCTCCCAGGGTCCTTACAAAGGTCAGACAGAGGGCGTTGTGGGCCGTCGGGTCCGCTCTGTGTCTCTGTGGTTCTGACGGGTCTGGACTCGGTTCCTCAGGATACATCGGCGTGGTGAAGGACGCGACGGAGTCCACGGCCCGCGTGGAGCTGCACTCCACCTGCCAGACCATCTCTGTGGACCGCCAGAGGCTGACCACCATGTACGTATGCACAGATCAGCTGCCGAGGTTCTGACCCGGTACAGGTCCGGTGGCTGGACCATATCAAACAGAGGAGCAGCATTAGAGCTGGTGGGTCCACATGTGGACCGATGAGCTGAACCTGGTGGAAAAATGTTTGTGTTTCCACACAACGACTCAGTTTCATTGTTCAGCTTCCCTGAAAATATTCGCAGCACAATTAGAATCTGAACATTTTAATGCAAAGGACAACAGGGCAGTGAATATTTGGGTTATTTGGTTATAGAGGATTTGAAGTCACATTTTCAAGGTAAAAAATATTTCAAGACATTTTTTAGCTACCAAAAGATATTTTATTCCTGGCTGAAATCCTAGCTATTGGTGCTAGCTAATACCTGTTAGCTAGCTATGTGTGCTATCTATTGGTGCTAGCTAATACCTGTTAGCTAGCTATGTGTGCTATCTATTGGTGCTAGCTAATACCTGTTAGCTAGCTATGTGTGCTAGCTAATGGTCCTAGCCATGCAGATACAGGTATATGATGTAGGTATAAGTTTCTGTATTGTAATAGGGTCTGGGGGTTAGGATAATATTTAATAACTGTTGATATTCTTTAAATATTTCCTGAGAAATGCGGCTCCGTTTTTCTGCGCTTGTGTCCGTAGCGCTCTGGGTGCAGGACGGTAGCAGATGGTAACTCCGCCCCTCAAACCACTAAAACACTAAAAACAAGTTATTTAGGTTTAATGGGATGTTTTGTGTGAATTCAGTTCTGCTTTAACATCCATTATGTTGGTTTTCTGTGATGTAACATTTCCTGTTTCTGAAGCTGTATCAGTTTCATGGATTCGTATTAAAGTTAATCCAGTGGAAACGGGTTGAAAAGTTCTGGCAGTCATTTAGAACCCGTCCCACCATGCAGCCCTGCAGAACTCCTGGTTCTGGTTCTGGACTCCCTCTGGAGGTCATTTATCTCCTGTTCTGACCCGGTTCTGAACCCGCGTGGCTCCTGTAATAATTGGGTTTGGTTGTAGAACTTTGGTTCTGATGAGTTAAATGGATGAACGGTCAGGCTCTGATCCAAACCAACATGATTATCCTATTAGTAAAATATTTATTATAGATCCAGTTCCTGCAGCTCAGAGACATTCAGCCTTTATTTATTTTCATTTCCTCCAGGATTTATTGATTATTTTTATCATTCTTTCTGATCTGCTTCAGAAATATTTCCAAGGAATTTCACAGTAATCCTTCTTCCTTAAACTTCGTCCAAAATCTACATACAGAAGAAAAAATAAAAGAAAAACAAGCAGACAGATTGGAGATGCATTTTGGTTCTTCAAAACATGTAGGATGAAGAAATACTGCCACCTGCAGGTGGGAGTTGGCATCACGTTAAAAATGTTGACCATGTTTGCAGAAAGTCTTCGTTGAACTCGGCTCTTTAAGATGTAAAAAAAAAGCCTCTGATCTGTTTGATGCATGAATTTCTGTGATTTTTGGGATTAATAAAATCTCGTTTATTTCCCGTTTTTGCTGATTTTCTTAGATTATTTCTGCCGTTCTTACAGTGATATTCCCAGGATTGTCCTTCCTGTTTCTGTTGTCGGCGGTCCAGAGCAGCTTGTTGCTGTTTGCTGTGTTTGAGTCGCAGCTGCAGCTCATTTCTCCCTCTTCCCTCCTTCCAGGGGAGCGAAGAGGCACACCGGGTCGACCTCGGCCCACGGTCGCACCCCCATGTTCGGCTCCCAGACCCCCATGTACGGCGCCGGATCCAGGACGCCCATCTATGGCTCGCAGACCCCCATGCACGACGGTGAGACGGCGGCAGAAACCCACAGGCTGCTGGGGTCAGAGTTCATTCTGCTGTCCCAGAAACACCGGTTCTGGTTCCGGTTCTGGTTCTGGAGCTGCGTCACAGAGGGAATATTTGATTGTAAACACAGCAGACTGCAGAAAGAGCCGGCTCGCCTTTAAACTGTCGCCGGTGGCCATGGTTACCCACATTTAGCTGTTTCAGCGTTAGCCAGCATGTGAAAATGAGATTTGCTTCCAAATTCGCGACTGAGAAACGTCTTCATGACCCGGAAGCGTTCCTGAGGCTGATGAGGGGAGTCGGCCCGTCGCCCTAGATGAGACGGGTCCATAAATAAAGGCGCATAAATAAATAATTCAGTCACATGATGAATTTAAATTGATCGTTTCCATTCGCATGATTTCCTCTTTTTGCTAAAAACTGGATGATGAAGTTTTTGGTTTTGGTCTCAGCTAGCAGATAATTCAGAATTCATTTTATTTGTTTCTGTTTTATTTAAAATGTCTTCCAGTGTTAAATGATCATGAGAACTTAAATTTGATATTTGAGAAATGTTCTTATTCCATCGCTAGAAGATGCTCTCAAAGCAACATTATCGATTATCACAAAGACTTCAGGGACGATGTATCGTCCAGGAAAATTTATTATGGTGATGAGAATCGTTTAGCCTGGTCCTGACCCGGTTCAGATCGCGGTCCTGACCCACCTCCTGGTTCTGTTTCCTACAGGAAGCCGGACGCCTCACTACGGCTCCCAGACCCCGCTGCATGATGGGAGCAGGACTCCTGGTCAGAGCGGCGCCTGGGACCCCAGCAACCCCAACACACCTTCCAGGTAACCCCGACCCGGACCAGCAGAACCAGAACCGCTCCGTCTTCATCCACCCTCCGTGTTTTTCTCCCACCTGCAGGAACGACGAAGAATATGACTTCGGCTTCGACGACGAGCCGTCGCCGTCGCCCCAGGGCTACGGCGGAACCCCCAACCCCCAGACGCCGGGCTACCCAGAGGTCCCCTCCCCTCAGGTTAACCCCCAGTACAACCCGCAGACCCCGGGAACACCGGCCATGTGAGTACTCGTCCCGGCCAGCAGGAGGCGCCGCGGCATCCTGTAACGTCTGCGTTGTGTTCAGGTACAACCCGGAGCAGTACTCGCCGTACGCGGCGCCGTCGCCGCAGGGCTCCTACCAGCCCAGCCCCAGTCCCCAGAGCTACCACCAGGTGGCGCCCTCTCCTGTCGGCTTCCAGAACACACACTCCCCGGCCAGCTACCACCCCACCCCCTCCCCCATGGCCTACCAGGTGGGAACGCGCTCTCAGCCGGGTTCGGATCCGGCAGAACCCAGCCATAAACGCTCTGTGTTCTCTATCGCCCCCTACAGGCCAGCCCGAGCCCCAGCCCAGTGGGCTACAGCCCCATGACGCCCGGAGCGCCCTCTCCTGGAGGATACAACCCCCACACTCCCGGATCCAACATCGAGCAAGGCAGCGGCGACTGGGTGACCACCGACATCCTGGTCCGGGTCAAAGACTCCTTCATGGACCTGATGGGACAGGTCGGAGTTATCCGGAGCGTCACGGTGAGCCCTACTGGACCCGACCAGAACCAGGAGCCCAAACATCTCATTACAGACTAGATGACAAAAAAGCAATAACCGTGGCAGACGGTGAAAACTGGCTGGCAGTGCATGAATGATGCAAACTCCAAAACACACAAGAGCAACAGAAACGCCGTCACTTTAAGAAAACACTTTTTTAAAGAAAACGCATTTTTACATTGTGAATGTTTCTTCAGTCTGCATCATCCGTGTTCATGCGCATTTCAGCCTTATGACGGTTTGAGAAGTAAAAGATTTTATGTTTGAAAATTTCTGCTTGTGAAAATCATGTTTTAGGGTTTTCATAGTGAAACAAAATGTCCTGGTCCGTTTAGGTTCTGTCTGATCCGCATTGGGACGCCGTCACTTTAAGAAGGAAGACAAACGAACCAGACTGAACTTTAACTTTCATTAAAGTTAAAACACAAGGAGCAGGGGCGGATCTAGAAAACATATCTGTGGGGTGGTGGGATATGTCAGTGTGTGTGTGTGTGTGTGTGTGTGTG